ATTTTGATTGCTTGGATTTAATTGACTGAAGTCTTGTGACGTAAACATAAACTGTTGAGCCGCGGCGCTAGTGGAATGAATCGAGGTATTTATTGTCTGTTGTACTCCATTTAATCCATTCCCAATACCCATCCTTTGAGTTGGTTTAATCAAATTAACATTATTGATCTTTTGTGCTTCTACTGAGTTCACAAGTTTTGCTGATTCACCTGTTGTTACATTCACAATTTGATTCGACTCATTAAATAAGATCTTGGTTTGATCTATACTCATCGAAATCTTTGAAGGGTCAATGGCTTGCCCCGAAGTTGTCGTCAAACCCTTTGAAGGATCGATCATTGATGTCGTACCATTCACATTTCCTTGGTTAGATGACGTATGTCTAAGTCCATCACCATTTCCTTGGCCATTTATGTTATTATTATTTGATGACGCAGGGGAATTTATTTGTGCTACTGGTGTAAGTTGAGCAGTCGCATGATTTTTAACAAGTGAGCTATTAATTAATCCTCTATTATTGGCCACAACATTATTAGTATTATTAGAATCATCAGAAATCATTCTTGGCATCGGACGCATATACGGAGTAACATTGTCACGATGATTCATCGTAGCCACCGTAGGTCTTATAATAAGACCGTTATGAGCACGTGAATTAGCGATAGAATTGTTGACTAATCTTGAGTCGCGGGTTGCGCGAGGATCGTTACTTAGCCGTGGCGTTGGAGGATTAGAATTCAGGCGGCTTGTACTTGACTCGGCATTGACACCTTGATTACATTTCACACCATTGAAAGTACGTGGGTCTACATAATGTGAATCAATGTTTGAGGGATTATTAATATTTGCACGTGAATCTGCCCTTTGAACCATATTGACTGTTTTTTGGTGTGATAATGTATGGTTGTTATTTTTAGATATAATATTATTTCACTAATAATGGCATTCGATCAAATGTATTCATAAAATTACCTGAATCTGGTTTTTGACGAGAATCTTGGTTGTTCACGTTTACGCGAGAATCCGCAGTACGAGATATCGAGCTCGCATAACGAGGGTCAAGTATCGTTCGCTGTTCTAAAATTTGCTTAGATTCTGCATTTGCTTGTTGAGAACTTTGGGTGGAATTATTGTTTACTGTTAAAGCATCCAGGCTCTGTTGCTTTGTTGGTGAGTTTTGTTTTTCTTTTTGTATTCGACGATAAGTACCAAGATTTTGATAATCCTCCTCTTTGAACAAGTGAAACCGAATCATACTAAAAACCATTTTTTAAAACAAAAAGAAATGAAGAAAACATATATTTAATAATTTTATAGGATATTTTTTGTTGTTTATGTTGTAATACAAGAATAATACATACTTCTCTGTCAGATCTTCGACTTTATTATTATCCTCCTCATCATCTAGGTTCATCTCATCTTCACTGAAGACATCTTCGGCTCCATCTGAATCATATTTGAACCTATCGTTGGTCTCACGAATGCGTTTATAGGAAAAGACGTCAAGACGATCGATAATCCTGCGCCTACGACCTCCTCTACCAAACCGACTTCTGAAAGCTGTGCAAGATATTGAAGTTCGATCTGTTGGCTTGAGAGAATCAAATTTTCGGAAAAAGGATGCAGCCGCTGGTTTTCGTTGAATAAGATATGGGTACTTATAAAAGAAATAAAAAAGTATTGTTATTCTATTGAAATTTTAAACTCTTGTAAATCGGACATATAAACTTACATCTGTTATGTCTGCCATTGGATATTCATCATCCTTCTTCGATAGTTTGATACCAGATTTTGTTTTCGTTGCGCTATTAGAAGTAGTAGAAGTAAGAGGTATGGGTGTTAGGAGAAAATTATAATAGAAAAAAAAAAACACAAAATCATCTATGCGAAGCTTACCCCATCAAGTCCATCGTAGATGATGATTTCCGGTTCCTCTATTAAGATAGAGTTGCAAAAATAGCTTTGAATAATTTGTTAAAAGGTCTTTGACCAACCAACAAATGAATCGAGTATATACCTTTGGTGGCTCATGGCTGGTTTCATTCCTGATACCCAACTTCTTACGCAACTCTCTAACAGTACATTCCTTTTCGAAGATCTTACGATCCAATTCAATCTTCTGCTTCTTGGTTTTCTCTCGGATCTTCACGTTGACCATTATATGACGACCGGAATGTATATCTTTCCTTATTTTCCTTAATTTATCAAATGAAGCTGTCTCTGTGCGACGCGTTCTCCTTATTGGTTTAAGTTCACGACGACGGAAACAAGTCCATGGATGATCTTCTTCGTCCTTACCCTCTTGGGTCTGAGATGAAAACATAAACATTTATTGAAGCAAAGGTTACCTAATAATCATGGAGACCTCTTGACAAAATTATCTGACAAACCTTTATTTCAAACATTAAAGGACCAACTTTGCGGAAACGTGACATACGTTCCTTACGTTTAGTTTTCCAATAGGTATGTATCATTTCAGCTTCACCTTTCAAGTCCTGTAGTGACTCTGGTAGACATGCTTCACAATCTAGCCAAGATGGAAGTAGTTTTTTTGCCTATTACGATAAATCAACCATCACGGAAAAGACACGTTATTTTTGATTGATTCTTTTTTTTTTTTTTTAAAAAAAAAAAAGGATTGATTACTAACCAATAATTGAATTTTGTTCTTTGCAACGTTTTCAAAGTGTTGCATTATTTCCTCAAACTGATCTTCGGTTAGAGTTGAATGTGTTTTTTCTTTATGCTCTACTAACCACATATCATCTTTTTCATCCATACAATACAAGCATCCTATACACTCTTCAACGGGTAAAGAAAATTTAACATATGTTGAAGGTTTTTTCCACTTGTGTGTTTGATATGCATCAGCATAATATGAAATACGTCGACTCGACGTTGGTACAGGAATCGTGGCTTTTCCTGAAGCTGTAGATCCTTTTTCCATATATTCTGTTCGAAGTTTTAATGCATTTACTAAATGCCATTCCTATTATCAAATTCAAAGATGGGGGGGAAAAAATAAAAAAAAAATAAATAAATAAAATAAATAAATAAAAATAAGAAAATTCACACGTTGAAAAATATTGAGAATAACGATTCATTCCTTCAATTGAATCTTTTTAATTGACCACCAGATAGGATCATATTCTTTAATTTGAAAAATACATGTTACAACAATTTAATGACATAATCGCCATAATCGTGCCGCAGCAAAATAAAAGAAAAGACATTTTTTCAAGATGATTTTTTTGTCAAGAAAATATTTTTTTAAAAATTTTATTCACCACTAGGAAAACTTAATCCTCTGAATCTAACTATGGTATTTAAGACTTTGAATTTTAAAGCTATATAGTACATTTTAGCAATGAAACGGTAAAACGAACCTCTTCCTCCTCCTTCTCTACCCCTGTCTCTATTTCTATGCCTGTTCTACTAACTGGTATACAGTCCTCTTCGTTGATTTCGCCTGGTGTATAGATTCGTAGTGGTTTTTTGTTGTCAACTTTACGGTGACGAAACGACTTTCGATTGATTGTGCTGTTTGGTAATGTCATCTTGGTTGTGGCGCAGTCTGATGAGTAAGTGAGTTTGTAATTTACAAGGGTTTATGAGCTTATGAAAACAAGACGAGAGAGCTTTTTAAAAGAAGCAGAAGCAAGCGCAAGACCAGAGAGGTTATTTTATATTAAGAAATTCGTAGAGATTATAAAAAAGTTGTAATGTTTTTTTTTTATTGTTTTTCTGTTCTTTACTCCTTCGACTATGGGAATTATTTTAATAGGTAGTTTTTCGTCCCCTTAGTTACTTAGTCGATTGTTGGGGCAAGGCAAAGCAAAAAAAAAACCGGGTACCACGTTAGGTACCCCGTCATGAATATATAATTCCAATGAGTCATAAGTACAAAGGGTACGACAGTGTGACACGGTTTTACGGTGACGTTTTAGTTTGTCAGACTCAGTTTAATTACACACCCCCTTTATCAATATGATCAACCATTTTATCAAATTATTATAATACTAAATAGGTGTTTTATAAGCAAAATTATTCTAAAATATACTTGGGGTGTATATATCCAGATTCGGATATTTTTGAAAGAATTGCGTAATTGCGTAATAAGATATAATTATTCTTTTTTTTTAAAAAAAAAAAAATTCCTCGAAAGGAATCACGGATCTTTCATCAATGTTAATACTCAAAAGGACAAACGACAGAACTATAACGCATAATCGGAAAGTGAAGTGAGATCATATGATATATACTCACCGTAATTTTATACCAAATTCTCTATATTGAATCGTATAAAAATGTATATTTATACTCACCCAATTACCTAATTAATTGATTGATCAAATTTTAGTTGTAAAAAGTTCAAAGAACTTTTTTTTCGTAATCCAGACCTTTTTTTTTATGTTCAGTAATAATATGTATTGGTAACCATAATTCTCTTCATGATGCAGAAAATTTTTCTAGCAAACTATGAAAGAATTCTATTGGTCTTTTCAATTTAACCTTAAAATAAGATTCAATCGTTGCGAATCTTGATAAATCAAAGATGTACTTGCTAAATGATATTTTTATTTTTTTTAAAAAAAAAAGGTTAATTAATTGAAAAAAAAATAGGAAAGACGACAATTTGTAAAAATCAAAAAAAAAATCCCGTACCCACCAACAATGAATATCTCACACCTAAATCCATCCGATGGATGCAAATATATTATAAGATAGAGTATGAATAATAAATCGTCATTCCTTAAAGATAACCCAATCACAAATAAAAGCACTGGGAACAAGAATGTAAAGTCATAATATACTTAGAATTACTAAAAGAAAGACGTGAAAGGAAAGTTTTGACATGTGAGTGAAAAGCAAAACCTAAAAATGTAATTGGAATTACACAACTTTTACTAATTGAATAACAATTTCTGAAATTAGGCAAAAAAAAAAAAAAAGAAGAAAAGAAATCCTTTCAAGGTCACATCCATTCTTTTTACCAAAAATAAGATTCAAACTGATAAACCTGTAAATTGAATATATTTCTTTAATTTCATAGTCACGTAAATTCTAAGGAACTATAACATAAAGACATTACCTAAGTACCAAAAACTGGTAAAAGATTCAGATCGGATAACTTCAATCATAATTCCAACACTATGATCGGAATAAGTCACAGACTAGCTCAAATCTAAAAATTATCGTAGTAAATATCATATTTCGAACCATTGATAAAAATTCCTTATAGGAACCAGAAGACGCTAATGCCGCAGAACCCATTTTGAAGTAAGGTAAATCACGTGACCGGCATGACTATTAAATTGAGATTTAATTGGAAAATGGGTTAAAATGCAAACATATTAAGTATTGTTTGCTCGGAAGACCATATCACGCACAAAGTATGACAAAACTCATTGAAATACGACGTCCGAATGATATTTCTTATCGATGATCAAAGTCGAGAGGGTATAAATATTAAAGAACCCAAGAATGAGTCAACACTATATGATAGGATCATTATAAGAAATAAATTATTATCATGGGAATGATTCTTGTGTTCTCTTTATAATCATTTAGCTTACCAACGTATCGAAAAGCAAATTTGTTTAGACTGAGAACCACCATAAAGTTCATAATTTAATAAGTGGTAGAAACTTGCTACACTTAATAGCAGCGGTCCAACAAAAAGTACGTGGAACAACTCCGGGAAACTCAAAGTGACCAAACTATTTAGATAAAAAGTAATATATAAATATAAATATAAATATATATATATATATATTAAAATTTTTTAGAGGAACAATGATTAAAATATTAATTAAAACATTTGATAATAACAACAGGCTTTGACCTCTACCTTCTTTTACCCTTCAAATGAGAATTCCATATTCTAAAATATCATGCGTCTAAAACTTTCTTTCATTTTATAAAGGGGTATAGAAAAACGAGCATTGCCACCAAGCAAAACCCAATAATACATCCTATTTATCCATGTCTCTTTACATCAACAAGCATTTAAAAGTATAATTAAGATTTCATAATAAGTCTAATAAATATAACAAAAAATGCTTGAATTAGGACAAAGAGTTTTGAGAGAAAAATACATAAAATTTTTTAACAAGACAATGAGCGGATCTGATTTATATAGGTGGCTTAGGCACGGGTTCTAAAAGTTTCTAAAATTATGTTACATAACAGTATGATCTACAATTGATTCAATTGATTAGTGTTCTTGAACATAATGCAAATAATGCTTTTTGACATCTTTTATAGTATTGTAAAGAATTTATTTTCAATCGTTGTACTGACAGAATTTTAAAGAAATTCTCTGAAAAAAAAAAAATAAAAAAAAAAAATTTGAAACAAAGAATTTATAACAACGACTAACTGAAACAAAAAATATCTCTTTTAACTGAAAAAATGAAATTTACTTATTTGTGTTTTTTATGTCTGAATTAAATGAACTATTTAGTAATGTACCAGTCATTTTCATCAATACAATATAAAAAGGAACTCTAAGGATGTTAATATATTCTTGTTTGTCGTACAGCGGTGCACAAATTTTGGACGATTTCTTTTTTTTTTCTTTACAAAAATTTATTCTCATCAAACTGTCGTTATCATGGCTGTGTTGTTATAATATTTTTACCATTGCCACACTTTGGCTTAGATATTCAAAATCTCAAATTTTCGAAGGATAAAACAGGGCGTGTAGCCGTTGATCCGCAAGGCTTATTTCTTTAGAAGGTTTCTTTTATTTAGCAAAATATGAGAACGTTTTCAAATTTATTGCTTATAATTAATTATAGTCTCCCCCTGAATAACAACCTTAATTCCCCAAAATATTCAAGGAATAAAATTTCAAAAAAATGATCTAATTTATTTGTTCGGAAAGTGTGTGATTTGCACAACTCGATCTCGAATTGATATTTGTAATCATTCGGCGAAAAATTTTTCGATAACATTCCACTTTTATGAAATAATACAGGTTATGGGAAAAAATTGTTTCCCAGCTGCATACGGCGGTTCTACCACATATTTGTATGTCAAATAAATTTTTCTATTAGGTTAGAATAAAAACTTTAAAGGAAAGTGATTAATCCTTCTTAATATTACAAAAATAAATAGAAGTGAAGTAAAAAATTAATTCTTCATTCTTTTCAATTTATAATTTTATATACTAATTACTCTTTCTGGTTAACCATAGTGTTACTTCAATAAAAGGAATGTGAGTAATATAAAATGGTCGTATTTTTTTTTCCCCGAATCTAAACCTTTATTGAATAATAGGGGTTAAAAAATTTCATTTTTAGACATAATTTTCCAGATGCATAATTAAAATGAGCCAGTTCATCTTAAAGAATGATAAATGGCGATCTCGGCTCCTTCATCTAGGTAAAGTTTTTTTTTTTTTTTTTTCAAGTACTGATCCTGTTCGCCCTGTATTATTTGATTTATCATCAACTTTTTTAAATTCTATGCTAATTTCCATAATTTCCTGTCAAAATATCACAGGAGGGTGAAAAAATTGTTAATAAATCGGTAAGTATTAACAAATATTCTTACATTCTAAGTAATCCATCCTAGGTCTGCATATTCAAATGAGTATCTTTGATATTTCAAATAACAAGCAATTATAATTATTTTAATACAAATATAAGCAATAGTAATAATTATATAATTTAAAGTTCCTATAACATAAAGAAAGCTATTATAAAAAAATTTTAAAAAAATTATTATTAATTTTTATTTTTAAATACTAATATAAAAGTTTATTTTAATCAAATATAATAAATAACATATTTAAAATTCATTTTATTTTTAAGTAAATTTTAATTTTAAAATTTTTAAATAATACCTTTTTATTATTTAAATTTCATATCTAAAAATAGCGTTGCAACTAATTGTAACCCTGTGATACTTATTTATCACCTGTTACAACTAGTTGTAACTCAATTTTTATTAATATTACAATCAATACTTATTTACACTAATTGCAACTAATTGCAATATCATCTTTAGTTATATATATAATTTTTAAATTATTATCAATAAAAAATTTTTTTAAAAGATTTATCATATTTATATTTTATATAATTATTATAATTTTTCTTAAATAATTCTATAAGTTTAATAAAAAAAAATAATTATTTGAATATTTTATTTATTAATTATATATAATAAATTATATAATTTAAATATAATTTTAGATATGAATAAAATAGCATTATAATTATTTATAATTGGTGATTAATAAATATCACTAGTTGTAATATTAATAAAAATTAAGTTATACTAATTGCAACTGATAACAAATAAACATTATAGGATTGTAACTAATTGCAATGTCTCTTTATATTTAACTATTACATATAAATTTTAAACAAATAAAAAATTCAATTTTTATTATTTTTAAATTTATAAAATATTTATATAAATTAATTATATATATATTATTAAATATAATCAATAATAAATTATATAATTAGTAATGTAATTTGATTAATAATATTTTATAATATTATATTTAATTTATATAATAAATAAATTATAATTAATATAT